TTTAGAGCTCATCATAAATGCATTTGCCTCACCACATGTGTGTTTAGGCTGATTCCACAGTTTGTATCTCTTGACTCTTGTATCTCATGCTTCCCTCTTTCTTGTAGTTTTCCTGATGTGATGATGCCATCCTATTCCAAGAACCGCTGGTCCTGTGTTTTCTTCATTGTTTACCTCTCCATAGAGCTCTACTTCGTCATGAATCTGGTACAAATAGCCTTGTTTTCACCACTTCTAAAATGTCCAGCCTGATCTATCCCACAGACCTGTTAATAAATAGACATGGCTCCCAATTAGCCCTTTCACATGACTGCTCACTAGCGTCACTACACTGTCATTTTCTCTGTCCCCCTCCAGCTCTTGGCGGTGGTGTTTGATACGTTTAATGATGTTGAGAAGATGAAGTTTAAATCCCTTTTGCTGCACAAACGCTCCGCTATTGACCACGCCTTTCAGCTGTTAGTTAGCCGGCAGGTACGACCTCACTGTTCTCTGTAGTCTAACGTACATTTGGTACAAATAATTCATTTTATAAAGCATTCACGATGGCTGCGTTCATCTGTGTTGATGCTGTTTTCCCTCTAGAGGCCGATGGGCGTGTCGCTGAAACAGTTTGACGGTTTGATGCGATTTTACAGACCACGGATGTCTGCAAGAGACCGCTTCCTCACATATAAAGCCCTTAACACCTCAGGGGCTCCAATGCTCAGGTGATTGCCTTACACACACCTTTTCAGTTAAAATCTTCTGCATTTAATTTTACGTTTTCATGTAATTTAACGGGAGTCTGTTCTGCTACAGTTTACAGGACTTTTATAAGTTCTATGAGGTCACTGGCCTTAAATGGAAGGTAAGTAGCCTCGTAATTATACTGTGTAGTTATAATTCACTCTCTTTTGTTGTCTGTTTTTAATGTACATATACTGTATGTTGTTTAGGCACGACGCAGTGGGGAACATTGGTTTGATGACCTTCCACACACAACCTTCCTCATTTTTAAAGGCTAGTTCTTTCTTCTTCTCTAATTTTTTTTGGTATTCGATCAAACAACATAACCTCTGAATTCCTTATTCTCACTGCATTCTTCTCTATTTTAATAGGCATCAATCTGCTCGTGAAGTCAAAGGCCTTCCAATATGTCATGTGTAAGTGTAATCCTATACATTCTCCCAGCTGTCCTCAGAGAAACCGAGGCAAAGTCTCTCATCATAAACCCTTTAACCTTTCCTTGTGTCTGCAGATGTGGTGGTGGCCATCAACGGTGTGTGGATCCTCGTGGAGACGTACACGCTGAGTAGTAAGATCTCTCCTGATATAAACACACAAAAAACGGGTGACCGAAGGAAAGTCTTTTGCACTACAGAGCTTTTCACCTTTCTCTCCTCCTGCAGGTGGATTTTCTTGGTCCAGAATTGTTCCCTGGAGTTACATTGTTTTCCTGACCAGTGAGTAGGCTGCCTGCTGACTCCCACTCACATCAGAAAATCATGACAATATTCATATGTTGTAAAACTGATCATAGAGGGCGCAAATAATTAATTCAAGTTTTTTACATGCACTTATACTAATATTAACTCTGCCTCTGTCCCTCCACTTTTAGTTTATGGTGTAGAGGTGTTATTGAAAATTACAGGTTTGGGGCCGATGGCTTATTTCAGCTCTGGGTGGAATCTGTAAGTAATAACTTGGATACTGGGTTGATTTATTAACATATTAAAAGAGTACTGAATCCAAAACTTCAGACATTAAACTCACAGGTTATGCTGAACAATACAGTTAACATTGGACTGCATAAATCCATAGACCGTGTATGAGTCTCTACATTTGGATTCAGTACTCTTACTAAAACGTTTTTTTGAATTTTAATGTGGCTATTTTGTGAAACAAAATGTATTTGAACATGTACCAAACACTGGGTCTGTTTTTGGTGTTAATCCTTACTGTATTCATCTGTCCAGGTTTGACTTCTCAGTGACAGTGTTTGCCTTCCTGGGCCTGATTGCTCTTGCCTTCGATATGGAGCCGTTTTATTTTATTGTAGTTCTCAGACCATTTCAGCTGCTCCGGTACGCTTTTATTTCTCGCTCCAGGAGTATAGTGTGTATGTACTTAATAGAATTAATCCATATTTTCTTCCTTCCATATGTTTAAATTTGGGTCTTCGGTCTCTCACAGGTTGTTCAAGATAAAGCAGCGGTATCGTAATGTGTTGGACACCATGTTTGAGCTCTTCCCCAGGATGGCGAGTCTGGGCTTAACCTTAATCATCTTCTACTACTCCTTTGCTATTGTGGGGATGGAGTTCTTCGCAGGTGTGGTTTACCCCAACTGCTGCAAGTGAGTCACGCCGTCATGTGTA